AGCTGTGCAGGCAGTTTGTCACACGCTGCTCTTGAGCTGGGAGCAGAGACTCCTGCAAGAGCCAAAAGCTGCTGAGAGTCTGTGCAAGGTTTCTGCTCACTAGGAAAGGGAAGTGAAGGCCACGAGAATGGTACAAAGATGTGGCAGAACACGAACCAGCACCAACGTGTGAGTCCAGCACAGCCTGGACTTCCCCCTCCCTGAGCAGAGGCCTTGGGGAAGGTGTGAGGAGGAGGACAAACAGCCCCTGTGCTGTGCCCTGGGCAGCAGATCCTGTGGGGGCTCAGCAGCAGTGTCTCCAGCCCAGCCAAGTGTCAGGGTGAGAATCACGGCACCAAGCTGCGACTTGGCTCGGAGTTTCCATCAAAGGCTCTGGTTTTACTAATATGTGAATGAATTAGTTGAATGTTGGAAGTCACATACAGTTAAGACTCAGAGCCCCATGGGAAGCCCAGGCTAAGAAACAATGTCTCCTTTGACTGAGAAACCACAAGAAAACACATACGGCAAAATTCGAATCTAAAAGGAAAGTGGAACATACGTTTGTTATTGCAAAGCAGCTCCTGTGAGCTCCACTAACGGCTCTGCCATTCCAGCTTCTTTTTCACAAGAAAAAAAATAAAAGGGGCAGTGAAAGTCACCACAATTTTAAAAGTTAAAACCCAGGGGAAAGGTGGGTTGGCTGCACTGAACAGGAGCCCCTCTCTGTGCAGCTTTCCTGCTGGAAAGGGAAGCCAGAAGGAGACAGCACACCCAGGCACCACAGGCTGGGGGTATGCTGTGCCCACTGCTGCTCTCCACGTGGGCACTGAGGTTTGTAGCCCTGGTCTACACTGGGGTGTTGTACCAAGTTAAACCATTGGGCAATGTACTTATTTTTATCAGTACAAGCCAGGTTTGTGTTTGGATTGCCACCTCTGTCCCAGTCACATCCATAAGCTCTTCACACAGCCACTGCCTTTCCTAATGGATAGTCTTCTCCAGAGCCTTGACTGGAGCAGCTGGGTACAAATAAGCAGCTTTCCTTCAACTCTGGTGAATGAGAGCTGAAAACCAATCATGCCTACCTCTCCTCTACAGTCTCAGTGACCAGGTGGACCTTCTAGTTGGTAGGTGCATGGAAACTTCAGCTTTGTCCTTGCTACACAGGATTTCCTTGCTGTTCTCAGCAACTTAACATCTAGGGGATACTCACATCCAACTATCTATCCCGCAGACAGAAACATGAATTTCTCTACAGTTAATAACAAGCTGCAGTTTCCTCCCAAGAGTGACCTGGAACACCTAAACTGGGAGCCTACACTTGTCCACATGACTCTAGATAGTCCCTGAAGTTAGATGATGTGAATGTTACAGAGCATGAACAGCTTCTCTCTCCCTCCTCCATGTAGCCCCTCTAGCCAGAGCTTTGGATTAATCAGACTTCTCCTGCCATGCTTGGAGTCCACAACTGGTGCAGAGCCTTGTGCACAAACTCTCAGGGCTAGACACGTGAAGAAGAGGAAGCAGCATCAGAAAGATAAACCACAAGATAAGGCCTGGAGGATATGAGATCTGCTGGTCTGTAGCTTCAGAGCACCCAAAAGGAGAAACTTGCATGCAAAATGCAGTTTCCAGAAAATTAATATTGCCAACACCATGCTGCAAAAGTCAGCCAAGAGCTCTTCCTCCAGGAGCTTCAGCTGGGAAATCAGTAACATGGGGGTTTACTTAATGGGATTATTTTCTGATCAGATTTTAATCATCTTATTTTAGTAAAGGTAATCAAAGTAGTGGAAGAGAAGTGTATCAGAAAGGGTTGTGCAATGTATGAGACATGCATGGGACACTCAGCCTTGGTATGAATCCCACCACTCTGGTGGACTTCTCCACTCAGGGCAGGCTTGGCTGCCAGAATTTAAGCCCAAATGCTCAAGAGACAGCATTGGATTCAAGAAAGTTGCTATGGAGAGATCCTAGTGCTCCAGAAAGATCCCAAGGACAGTGTGACACAAAACAGATACAACCTCTTAGAAATAATTTCATTCCCTTTACACCCAGTTGCCTTTAATACAAACTTCCCTCAACACAGCACCAGCTTTTAAAGATCTCCCTTTCATTTTCTCTGTTTGCATCTGACAAGAACACAAAAGTTAAAACTCACTGAGGGGAAAAAAAAGGAGAAAAAAAAAGAAGAAACCTTGAAGCCAAATAACTTCTGACATGAGAGCTTTGGATTTTACTGCTCTCCCCTTGGTTTCAGATGTCATCAACCTTACAGGTGCAACTATCTCATTGCTCAGCACCCATATGAACCTGGTTATGTTCAAGTGAACACAAATCCAACAAAGACTTCCAGCTTTGTAATAAACCTTCAGAAAGAAGCTGCCCATATTTTCTCCAGATGCAGGCACAGCTGTGCAGAGGCACATCTGCTTGGGGAGCTAATGTGAACATTTGAATTTATAGCTTTAGAAACTGAAGCTTGAAGGCAAATTATGATAAAACTAGGAATATTGGTTCCTGTCTCCAGCAGAAAATATAAATCCCCTCTTTGATTGGTATTGATTACAGGAAGGAAACAAATTATTTATATTTCCCCGTGTCACAAGAAACTCCTTCATTGCAATAAACATCCAGTTGATAGGAATACCTTGGGAAGGTAAGTGATCCTGTATTTGTAAGCAAACTGAGAAAGGAGCAAGTGCTGATTGGGCCTATCATTCCTATATCCAGGTAGCCTCAAACACACCACAACAGGCTCTGAGCTTGTCACTCATGCACTAAAGATCCTGTATGTACTGAGGTATGGCAAATGTGATTGCTATTCATTATCATCCTGCATACTCTGCTCAAATATCATAGAGCCAAGGTCGGAGGAGACCTCTAAGCCCACTGAGTCCAACCATCAGCTGCCACTCTGCTGTATCCAATCCATACACCTAAGTCCAGCTCAACCAAAGTAAACAAATGCATTGATTTAACAATTTATGGCTTGATTTGAAAATGGGGTGAGCCTGCAGGGGAGGATCGAACATGTGTTTGAGGTTAAGCACAAATCAGCCCAGTGAAATTAGTGCTATTGATCACGTGCCTGAAATTAAGCAGAAACTCCAACATTTCCCTAGGTCATGCAAGTCTTGAGTGTGTCAGAAACATCTGTGGGATGCACCCCAGCTCTGCCCAGTGGAAGCTGTAGCTGTGGCTGACCTGTCCAGTTGTCACACACCATCACCAGCACCATCACACCAACACTACACAACCCTGACCAACAGGCTGTGGCTTTCTGCTGGAATGAGGGGGAAATGAGGGAAAACTGATGTGCCCCAGATGGCTACAGTGCAGCCACTCAGCCAGTGTCTTACACCACCCTTTGGAAGGTGATGGAAAAGCCCTTCACCCTCCAAAACAGAAGAAGGGTTCAGCTCATCCACCCCTCAGGTCAGCAAAGGGATGAATTTTGTTCCCTCCACCACTGTCAGCCTGGATAGCTCTCACTTGTTTCAGCAGTGACTTCCCTTCTCACAAGCACAGCTTGGACCAGAACTGGACTCTTTAGGACAATATAAATGATAACACAAAACAGAGATGAACTTTTGTTTCTGCAGTGACATCAGACCAAATCACAAGGGACCTCCTGCCTAAACTCATTCACCTTTTCTCTGCAGCATCACTAAGCAGAAAACATCCTCTCTGTAGCTACAGCTTTGAGGCCAAACTTTTCCCCACTGCTATGCTGACTCCCCATCACATGGCTACTACAGCTAGTACAGGTTTCCTCTCCGTGCTGCATATCCAGGACAAAAAGAAGGCAGCACTGATGACAAGCAGCACCCAAGTTGGGGCACAGCATCAGCAACTTATGAATATACCAGGCACCAGACTGAAATGGATGCACCGAGTGCTTGGATTACACAGGGGTGAAATTCTTTGACCTAAATTGAAATGGGCTTAAAACTAGAAGTTTTACCACATAACCTGGGGACAGAAAAAAAGAGGAAAATTGCTAAGGGAAGTCAAATGCACGAAAGACATTTCTAGCAAAAGGCAGCTGTTAACTCTGGGGAAGCTTCAGCTGAACTTCCAGACCTTCCTAATCCAACTCCCATCAAGGGTAATGAGGGTTGATTACTGCTCTTTACACTTGAAGAGAACATGCATGAGTCTTACACAGTTTGGCTGTACAGACTAGAGAGGAGCAGAGGGTAGGAAGAGTCAGAAACACAACAGAACTGTGCTGCACAGAGCTGCAGTGCAGGAACCCACAGCTCCAAAACTCTCCTTCACCACTGCCAGGAAGACATGGTGCTGCACATCCAACACGATCTGCTAGTTGTTTTAAACCTGAGTTTGGTAGATCATTGAGCTACATCAAGTTTGACAACCAGGCTTCATGTTTGTACATGTGGAACCTCAGGAAATGTTTACATAGAAGAGTCTCTTGTCAAGACAAAATAGGCTCAGGTGGAACCCAGGACAACCAGGCATCTTATGGCAGAGTTGGGTCACAAGGCATCTAACATATAGCCCAGAAAAGGTAGAAAACACATTGCTCAAGCTCCTGACCCTCCACAAGCCAATCCAAACCAACCTTCCACACACCCTGGGCTTCACCACCATTCAGCCTCAGACCCTTTCAGCACTCCCAGGTTCAGAGGGTGCTCCTCTTTCAGGGTCAGCCCCAGCAAGCCTCTCAGCAGTGAACTCACCCCCACTTTCCCTCTCTGGAGATGTCCCCCAGCCTCACCTGGACGATGGGGTGGCCCCCGGTGGGTGCCTTGACTGCCCCTCGGCTGCCCTCGGTCTCGTAGTGCGCGCGGTGGTGAGGCTTCGGCTGCACCTCGATCCGCAGCTCGTACGACTGGCTGGACAGTGGCCACTCCAGGGGGGGGAGGGACTGGACAGGCAAACTGGGCAGAGAGAGAACACACCAGTCAAACTCCTCAGCACTTGATTTCTCAAAGCCCTGATGCCACCTGCCTCCCCGTGCCCCGGGGCGGCTGCTCTGTGAACCATGCAGGACTCTGCTATTAACTCAGTGAGATGATGCTGTCCTGCTCATTGCAAGCCCTACTGAAATTCAGGGTGAGGACAGTAATTTCTGTGGACCCATCTCCAAGCAGAAGAGAATAGGATAGCAGTTACACTTTTCCAAAGATTTCACTCTTATCTAGCTTTTGCCGTGTCTTAAACTTTGATCACAGGATACATATTTTGAAATACTCACTCCACTTACCATTACTTACCAGATGTGCAAGTTAATAACTTTATGTTTCCATAAATACCAAAATGCACATGAATAAAATGCTAAATATTCTTACCTGATACTAGTTTTCCTGTTACAAATACACAAGGGTTTGTAGCATGAAACGAACACACTGCAATGTACAACTAGAGCTGCACTGGATTTTAAACCACTCTGATTTTGTTAGAATGAGCTGCTGCCAGGTCTAACACGCCAAGGGAAGTCCATAGAGTAGCATTGCAATAGCTACATATGCATCTGAGGATAACATCAGCTCAGGGACAACTTTGGTGCTGAGCAGGATGACAGGGCTGCTGGTGCCAGCCGTGGCTGGGAGAGGAGTCACACACTTGGCACCCTCAGTCCTGGCAGATTCTCACTGCTCAGGGTCCAGCCCTGTGTGCCACCAGTGCCTGACAATGGAGGGAGATGCTGAGGGCAGTGCCAAGAGCTGAGATTTGGGTTGAGGGACAATTAACAAATTAACAACCAACAATAAGTCACTCAGAGCTGACTGAACACTCAGTCTGACTCGGAGCTGTGAGCTCTGTTTTGATTCAGGAATTATTTAAAGCACTTTCATCCTTGATGGAAATCTGTAAGCAAGACATTCTCTGCTTTTACAAAAGTAATCACACTGTTTTCCTTAAAAGCAGCAGGATGGAACCAGAGGGTTCCACCTTCACCAGAGGCTATCTGCAATCTGTTCTTTAGACAAATAATCTGGAAATTCTAATTTGTGCTATCTGTGAACCACTTTGGTGAAGTTTCTTTCAAACCCACCTCCTGAACTCATAATGGACTGGGCTCCCATTAACCAGTGCTACCCCTGAGCACTCAGCTCTGGTCTGCAGCAGGATCCACCCAAGAAAACACTCCCTAGGGATCATCATGCACCAGTGGGACACCACACCATGAGAAAACACACAGCCACAGGAAGGATTACCTACCTGCAGATAGGTATTGCAGGCACCAGCTGCTTTGTCCAGGATGGAGGTACCAACAGGATTGATTCTGGGGCTGAGTTTCTCCTGTCCTCCTGCTCACAAGGCCCGTGGAAGTCAACGGTCTGAAAGACGTGACACGGAATGCTGTTTTTGTGGGAAGGCATTGACGAAGGATCAGGGCTGGTTTTCCAAATTTTGGTGGGAACACCACAGGAAGGATCTGTGGGAAGGCTGCTCATAGCATCCATGGAAAGAGGAGCGCTGGGCAACTGCGTGTAAGTAACTGAAGAGTTGTCTTCTCTCAGGGGGATGCGAGGAGAGGGCTGTGGAGAGGGGGTCCTTGACTGCCGTGGAGAGGTGGAAGGCAGCTGAGTACTGTAGAGCTCAGTGCAAGAGTACCTCCGTTTTGCACCTGGTGATGAAGACCTTGAGTTGGGACAGGGTGATGGTGAATGTCGTCCCAAGCAGCTTTCCTCCGTGATGCTTGTTCGTGGTGACATTATTGGAGAGGTTCTAGGAGAATAATGAGTATGGATGTTTTGAAACTGTGGACAAAGGTCATCACTAGGACCATTATTTGGTGAAACACATGGTGATGTGCAAGGAGATACATTTGTCTCTGAAATGAAACTTGCAGAGGAGCCGCTACTAGCTGGGCTCAGACACAGTGGTTCTCTGTAGCCCTCAAAGCCAGGGACAGGCAGGGTAACCCTTGGGCTAGCAGTAGCTGAGTTTGACTGATGTTCTACCAAAAGAACATCTGTGTCTCTGCTGCGGAAGGGACCCCCTGAATGAATCAGTTCATGATATGGAGTAATTTCAATCCTAGGGCTCGGAGCAGAGGCCCCTGCAGCGTTGGCAGGGTGTGTAGGTGCTGTCCCTATGCTATCTGGCTGTCCATATCTGCCCATGGGATCTGCAGAAAGGCTAGAAAAAGGCAGGGGGCATGGCTTGAGGCCACAGTCCAAGACATCATGAGCGTATGTAACTCCAGAGGGTGGGCTGTTGGTTTTATGTGGAGTCGGTTCTTCTGGAAAAAGAAGGGTCTCTTTAAGACTATAAATACTATTACAGAAGCTGAGCAATCAAGGATTAAAAAAAAATGCATATTTATAAACTGGTTGTGATCTGATATTAGCTTAATATTTGTTTAATTCTTCTTAACTGCAGTTAATGCTTATGAAAAGTACTGGATTAACAGCCAAGGAAGCTCAAGTGCTCAGAGCAGCTGCAGCACGGACAGAAGCACTGCAAACGCCTCCACACCACCTGGCCGGGCTCCTGAGCCTGACCTAGAGGGATCACCTAGGAGAGTTGGCAGCACATCAGCCTCTCTGCCCATCTCAGAGCTGCCCTTCCTGCCAAATACACCCCTTGGTGCCAAATGGGGTGCTGTGATTTTGGTCAAATGTTGTCCACTAGGAGCTGGACTGAAACCATCACATCCCAAAATCACTTCCAAATAGGTCTATGTAAAACCTAAAGGTTGAGGAACAGCTTTGGGTGAAGGGAGAAAAGCCTTTCTTACGCAGCCAAGAGCCAGAAGAGGCTTCACAAAACCAAAGCTGAGCTCAAGCTCTTCAATTAAAAAGTCAGTTCTGTGTGATGATTTGTTTGGCTCTGTATCATGTCAGCAACTTTGGGCCACAGGTTGCACAAGAGAATGCACCAGCTGATCAGAAACACTCTCACAGATATTTGTTAGAGAAAAGATAGTAAGCATCCAGCCCCATGGTCACAAGCAATCACATTCCAACTTCAGTCCAAGGAACGTTATGCCCAGGAAGGACTATAAAATACAAAATACCAGCTAAGTGTGCAGTGCAGCCCTCTCTCCTGGAGCCAAAAATCCTCGTTTGTCAGAGATTCTCATCTTGCAAGCTATGCCCAGGTTGCTTCCAGGCAACACAGCATCCCCACCAGCACTGCTGAGCCCAGTTCTGATCTGGGACCAGCACTGCTGAGCCCAGTGCAGGTCTGGGACCAGCAGCCCATCAGGTGCTTAATGCCAGTGGCACTTGAGTGAGCAGAGTCCTGCCAGGTATCCTCAGGACACATCCTTCAATGTACATCAGCTCCTGGAGCTTCCCCAGCCTGGGAGCTGCATCATGTTTGTCATTACATAAAAACATGCAAAACACAACGAGGATTTGTGTGCTTTCAAAGATTTCAATGTGCCCAGCAGCAAATACCTGAAACAGCTTCACAGTTTGGGATTCATCCACACTATCTGCTCACTCCAGGCACAGATTACTATGTGCCACAGGCAAAGAGGGTTTAATTTAAGTATTTAAATAACTGTTCCAGCATTTTCTCTACTTCCTACACTACATGGGACAGTGTTTGCCATTGGCAAATAATATCATACATAAAGCCAGGTAGGAACTGACTGTGCTTTCTGCAAAAGCAGCAGAAGTTCACAGTGAAACTTTGACACAGAGAGATTGTGATTAAATTGCAGGGGGTTTCTGTTTATTTTCAGGAACTGCTGAGCCTTGGTGTCCAGTGGGAAACCCCAGAGCCAAGCAAACAAACCAGCACACAGACTCTGCCTGGGACAGCACAGAGTGCACAGAGTCCAGCCTGCAGATTTCTGAAGGTTCCCTCTGGCTTTTAATCCCAGCACGAAGCTGTTTTGGGGATGGGGAAACAGCAACGAGTAACTGAGTTTTGAGCTGAATATATTTTGGCATGGCTGATCTCTGATATCAGAGTCTGGGCATTCACAGGAACAGTGTCATCCCCATCACTCAGATCTGACACATCAGGCCTAGATATTGATGCTGAGATTCACTTTGGGTAAAACCCATCACACTTTCGGAACCAGCAGAGTAACACACCCCCCACAGGCACAAAAAACATCATTCCCACTGCTCTGGGGAGAATCACCCCAATTCCAGCTGATGCAAGGGAGCAGAACCAGCACCAGACAGAGCAAGGCTTGGTGCCAGGGCTCGAGGCAGGATTTGTGCAGTGACCAGCAATAGCAGAAAAACTCCCCAGGCTGAAGAGCTTCATATCAAGGAACAAGTGACTCCTTCAGGTCCCCATTCAACACACACACAGGCAACAGGTAAAGAATAAAAACTCCTCACAACACATTGAACAGCAAAGCCAGGTTCGTGTGGAGGGCTACGGGCAAAGCAAACTATTTATACGTGCACAGGTGATTTTAGAAGTCTTCTGAACAACAAACACACCCCACCACTCACAGTGTCTGCCCATCAACAACTGGCTACAGGTAACCTACGTGTTCTCTGCTTAGCCCTGAAACACTGTGCTTAGAAGAGCACTTTCACCCTTGGCATTCCCTCTCCAAGAGGATCCACATTCCAGATATTAATAACACATTTACACACCAACAGGCTGCAGCCTGCCCTTGGCCCTTGACTCCCTGGGCAGAGCTCTCTGCACTCCCCACGGCTCACTCAGGGCTCGAGGCACAGCCCCCAGACAAGCAAACACCCACAGCTTCTGGACAGCAACAACATTGACTCTCCTCCCGCATGGCAAACCATCCACAAAGCAGGAACGTGGGCAAGGCTGCAGGCAAACCCTCAGCTCGTTGTTTCCCTGCACCAGGAACAGCAGCAGGCAGTGATGCCCAGGGGCTGGGGAGAGGCTGCTGGCCCTGACTCATCAGCACAGCGTCACCAGGACACAGGCTCGGGGCTTTGGGGAGGTCTCCTGAGCGAGTCCCAGCCCTGCACAGCTCCAGAGGTACAATGAAATCACTGTCCTGGCTGCCACTGCCCACGCCGTGACCTCACGGTCTGTCACCATGGCAATGTGGTGATGCTACAGCACAAGGCTCTGACCTCACCGCGAGGGAAAAGGGGCACATGGGTGAAGCAGCAAGTGCTGCTCACAGAAATACAGAGCATCCAAATCAGGAGAAGTTCTGCTTTTTGCTTCAGTAGGACAGGACTGGCTACTCTGCTCCAGTACAGCTAAGGCAGGTTGGGGTTAGGGATCTGCTGAAGGAAGGGCAGACCAGTGCCAGCATCCCAACCTCCCCAGGGGAGGAGCATCACTATCACCACCACCACGAGTTTGCTTTGGTAAACAGTGTCAAGCTCCTGCCTTTGTGAGGGGGCAGATAGGGAGAGGATGCTCCCCAGGGGCTCAGCTTGGCACCCAAGGCTGCATCACCTTCAAGGGTCCATCCATTCCTGCATATTGCATCCCAGAACACAGACTGAAACTCTCCACCAAAGGACTGTCCTCTCCTTTTCTGATGGACATATCTGCAAACAGCACAGCAGCCTCAGCACAGCATGGGCAGTTACAGCACTTCCCCACCTCCCTTCGCTCAGGCACTTCCCAGCCGGAGGTTTCACTGCTGAATCATCCTCTGATTCAGTACCAAACTATCCTTCTGCTTTGACACAGGGTTAAAAGAAAGCAAGCTTCACACCCAGACAGCACTGGCACCTCCTCACATCCTCACTCAGCCTACCCTGTGCCACCCAAGCCCCCTACCTAGAGCATTCTGTCTGACCCCCCAAGCCCTCAAGGGTCCCACCCAAACTGCCTCCAAGCTTCCAGCTCTTTCTACCGTTTGCTAGTCCACAAGACCATCTCTCCATCTCTCTGCCCATGACAGAGAATAGAAGGAGGGCTGTGTGTGCTGCTGTACTGTAAATAACCAACAAACCAGCTCTTCTAGACAGGCTCAGGAACGGTGCAGGCAGCTCCACCACCCCTCTGGAAGCTGGGCAGCCTCCCCAGGTGAAACTGGTCAAGGGATTAAGTTTCAAAGGACTTAACCCTTGATTTACAAAACTCCTTTTCACACACCTCTGAAAATCAGAAGGAAAACCCCCAGTGGGTCCTGCTGGACTCCAGAGGTTCCCCAAGCCCAGGGGAACACACCAGAGCTCTGCGAGGGACACCCTCTGCTGCTTGAAAACAAGGCACTGACTTCAAAGTCATCCTGTCCAGCAAATGTGACCTTGCCAATTAGCATGAAATTAGGCAAGAAAAGATCCCCCAAGTGGCTGCATTCCATGCTGGGTTTATACAAACCATCATCAAGGGAAAGCTAAAGATAGCAGCGTGTGGGTCCAGGGAGCCACAGGGGCACAAGTTTGATTTTGACCTCACATCCACTTGCTGCAGGGCAGCTCCTGGGATTGAAATGGAGTTCCTGATTTGCATAAAGCAAACAGTCTATTTTTTTGTCATTAACTTGCTTATTGTCATTTGAAGGGGCCAGGTCAGAGCTTTTTTGCACTTTTTAAAAGCTGGGTAGCCTGTTATTTACACTAACTGCTGGGAAGCTCCAAGTGAGAGCTGGTTTCCTGAGCAAAATCTGGAATTCTCTGTTAGATGTGCATATTTGTTTCTTTATAGCAGGGCTGAACACTGCCTCCTGTGTTCCTGAGCCAGGCCCCAGGACCCAGCTGCGTGCACTTTCAGGTTTTTTTCCTTTTAATAGCTTTGCATCTGTGAGAGAAAAAAAAAAAAAAAGGAACGAGGCAAATTATACAGGGCTTGACACCTACAAGACGTGGCAATGTCCCTGGGAGCCTGTCTACATGCAAACAAGCATTTAGAGGAATATTTATGGATGCTCCCTGCTTCCCCTCTCTACATTATACATACACAGGCCTTGTAGATCCATATCACCAGATGTCAGAGTCTGCTCAGCTACAGCAAGGGCTTGAGCCTACAGGAAAAAACCCTTTCCATTTGCATTCCCACCTGTTGTCTCAGGACAGGGTTTTGTCTGGAATCTGATTTAAAGATGGGTTTCGTTGGATTTTCAAAACACCCCTCAGAGAATCAGCTCCCAGAAGGGCTAACCTCGAGTACTGAAAACTATGTGGCAGCTTTACCTATCAGCAGATCATCACACAGTGAACACCAACCAAAACTGCATGAAAGGAGCTGCTGGAGCAGACTCTTGTCTGG